CCCCCTACCAGGCCCCACCCCCAAAAAAAATTTAAGTTTGTTTTTAAAAAAAAAATTCAATTTCAAAAATTATTTTCTACTCTAGTTAAAATAAAAGATATTTCTCAAAAATATTTTTCATTCATAAATCAAATACTAAAAATCTTTTCTACTCACCAACCAAACATGAGAAAATAAGTCAAAAATCAACTTGTTTTCCAGGAAAACATTTTCCTTCATACCAAACACACCCATAAAGTAACATCTGAAATTGTCTCGAATTCTTAAAAAGACATTTTAATTATGTGAATGTCCTATTACCCTTAAACAATTTCGAACTGATATTATTATATCATGATCGAACGCTCACACAATACTTCCATATCCAGCATTATTTAACATAACAAGGATGACCTTATTACATAACGGACCATCAATTGAACCAAAGTCAACAAGTATGAATTGCCTATACATTTGCCAAGAAATTACTTCGAATCACACTTTGGTTAAGTTTAGTGATTTATAGAAATTTTAATATGTTAATTAATTTGCTTAAAAGGATCTCAAAGTTTTAAATATGTTCAAATCCCCCCCTATTTGAGACTATATAATCTCACCAAAATCCCTTTTTTTCTATTATCTTCTTTTCCTTGAATAACCCAACTCACTTTAGTCTCCCACTTTGTCAATATTTTCTCTTTTTTTTTGCTCTCTAAGCTTATTATCGATTAAATTATATTGATAGTATAAAAAGTTACTTACACTATCGATGTATAGAACTTAAATCTTTTCATTTTTTTCTACTATACATTTCTTGACGATCGCATAATCAATTAACGACTATTGCTTCTCCAAAGAACCAAAAGAACAAGAGGACTATGCTTCCACCAAAAAGGGACCAAATTAAAACTCAAATTTTTGAGAATTTGAGCAAAACTATGTTTTTTATTGCTTCAAAACCTTGGAAAATGTTGGAATTTTGCTTCTATAAGTTTACCATCAAAAAATCATATAGCACTTTTTGATGGTCACTCTTAACATTCATGAAATTGAATGAATCGCATGATCAAATTCGACATATATTGATTGATCGTATATCTCAATGATGGTTGTCACTTGGTCACATGTGACATTTTGTGTATGTTTTTTTATTAGTTTTTAATAGGAGATGATGCTATAAAATACAAACAAGAATGGTCCATGGCTTTGGATTATTCTATGCTTCTTTAATTTGTGTAATTCCTTAATGATTGTAAGATAGTACGGCCAAGGACTTTGGTTTATTTATTTTAATGAAAGTATGCTTTAATAATTGGTTGATTTAATCGTCCCGTCATTTTAAGAAAATTGGAATCAATTATATGAATTCTCATTTAATGATTTGTTCTATCAATCCCTTTTTATCAGTTGAAACTTTTTGTAAGTTTGATTGAGTTTTATCAACATGGGTTGTGGTGCATTGGTGGGAGTATTTCATTCTTAACCAGAGGTCTGGGGTTCGAGCTCTGGGTATGGAGAAAATTATGTTGGGAGCGGCACCCTTGAATAGGCACTGCAGTGCGCGATCTAGATTTAGTCGGGGCTCCAATGTGGATGTATACGGTATATGAAAGAACAAATATCAAAATTTAAAAAAAAGATTGAAAAATTTAAGAATTAATTACAGATAAAGTTATTAAGAAATATTAAATTAGTAACATAATAAAATGATAATTAACCTCTAGATAATATATTCACCATCAATATAAAAATATCTTGACACCGTTAGCAAATATAACTTAGGGTAAATCACATAAATATGCTATATTAAAAAAATATTTACCATCTATAGCAATATGATTTTTCTAACTAAATATAATAATTTTTTGAAATTAAAAAATTGTACAGTCTTTATTCGCTTTGCCTCTTTCACTGCCCTTTTTTTTCTCTTCCTCCTGTGCTTCTTTTTATTTTTCTTCTTCGTCTCTTTTTGTGTCATTCTATATCTTCCTCCTCTTCTTCTTCTTCTTTTTATTCTTCTTCTTCTTTCAAATTTCCATCTAAAGAACTCCTCTAATCAGTTTTACCCATAATTTGCAATTTTCACCCAAAAATACGATGATTAAAGGAACAGAAAGACCGAAAATTTGTACAAAATTAAATTTTCAAGCAGAAATTTCAAATATC